ATTCCTCCTTATATACTCCTTATAATATCAATCAAGGCTCTATTTGTGTGATTGAACTACCCAAGCTCACCAATTGTGAGGTGTGACTTAGCTAAAGATCACATAACTCACTCTCAGACCATAGTTTCCCCATTCTTAAATCTCTAGGGTGTCATATACTCTAAGCTAATCTCCTCGACAAATAGATGAAGATAGCTAGGTTTTAGTCCCCTGACAATCTATGGGATAGTCTTTCTACAAACAACGGGACAAAGCTAGCCTTTATACATTACAAGGTAGCTATAAATACCATATGGATTTTATCTACTCTTCTCCCTAAGCGAACTTGAATCAAATGATCATGCAATGTTTTCATGCTCACTCATCTTTAGAATTTAATTTACTCGACATCAATACATTAGGTTTACGATATTACGATACCCAAATGAGCATCAAATATTATTTTCACAACATTCTCAACTGTAACTCTCAATCTTATAACATATTTCAAATCTATATTTAGCCACATATGTAATATTCAATTTCTAATACAACTACATTATCTTATGAACTTGACAATTATCATGCTTCAATGCTTAATGATAAACTATGCATATTTTCAAGTTCAACACCACATCTTAGGTTAGATCAAAGTGAATACCATGTCATATGGCTTACAAAATACTTTTACAATCACAATTTCAATTATATAGGAAAATAAAACTCATTTAACATTACAAGCCAATTAATAAACAACTAATCAAAAAAAGTTTCCCCCTATTACCTCAAACCTTTAAGAGGTCAAAGGTTTACTCCTTAATATATGGTTACAAGCTTGTTTTCCAAGATGAATATAGTGCTTGGATGATTACTCTATAATTAATCAAGTTTAAACTCATCAACATTGTTAAATGCATACTTCCAACTCTATTTTTTTATTCTTAAAAATACTCAATACCCTTATCTCTCACATTTAAGCTTACCCATTAGGTGTTTTAACTCTTATTAACTTCATTAATTGTTTTTAGGGTCATTAATGTCTCCCAACAACCCTATAATTCACATTTATCACCCATTTTGGAATTAATGGCTTTAAACCACCATTAATGTCTAAACTCATAATTTATAGGTTTAAATACTAAAAACAACTCCTATTAACTCTATGTGAGTCAATAGGTTTAGATCCATTGCCTATATAGACCAAAAATCAACTCCCATTATCAAATCCTAACTAAAAGCTTTAAGAAAATGGGTTGGGAAGGAAGAAGACAAGCTAGGAGACTTACCCTTAGGGTTTAGTGGCTTTAAAATGCTCTAATCTTCCTCTAGAAACAAGCCCTAGTAGAAAGCATACCGTGCACAATAGAATGTGGTACAGCAAAGGCTATTTCGTGTCTTTAAGCCCTATGTGCTATGGCATATAGTACATAGGCTTTTCTCCTTGTTTTTCTCTACTTTTAAAGCTCGGGTAACCCAACTTCAATTTGGATTTAATCTTAAGGCTGAAATCTGACTAGAGTTGTCGGTACCCTAGCAAAATAATACTAAGCTACACTAATATAGTAGTAGTGTCAACCTAAGTCGATCTATATGAGGAGGCTTAGATGGAAATTTAAGTTTGAAGTGTGATACAAGTTAAGGATGATTTAGGATAAATTTAACCTCAAAACTAAATGAGCTAATTAATCTAATTCTAAGGTGAATAAATTGGGTTGTGAAAACCTGTTAAAAGTAAAAACTCCTCTGTGAATTTGGTCACCTATCCTGATTTGATTATGGTCTAGCTAGTTTGGTTTCTTCTCTCTTCTCTTTGGTTTTGGAAAAAAATATAAGGGTTACCCTCAAAACAAGTTGTCATAAAACTCAAAACAAGTCATTAGGTCAAGTAAGGTTAAGGGTAGTTTAGGTTGTAAGTCAACTTAGATGATAATTCCAATGTAGCTCTTCTAATCCCATATGTGCATGGACATGTTAAGAAATTGTGTTCCCCTTAAACATCTTGAAAATCAGGTCTAAACATGCTCAAATCAGATATGGAATTGTCATCAAAGCTTCTTGAACACATTACAATTATCTTAAACTTTGACAAGTCAACTTGATCCCTTGTGAGCAAGTGCATAGAAACTTCATGTGTGCCTCATTAGCCTTGATAAATCATACCATTTTGAAGCACATTCAGATCTGAAATTTCATGCTCAAGCTCCCACATGTGCCAAACCAAGTCTTGAACCAAGTCTCTTCTATACAAAGTATCACCTAAGACAACAACATGAAATTTGACTAAGTTATTTTGCATAAGTGATAATATATAAAATATTCAAACCCTAATATCTTTTTGTATATATTTTCAAAATCCATTCAAAACTTCATAAACACACATGAGAAAAATAAGGTCACTATGCATGCATGCAAACTTAGTCAAATTCAGCAAATTAAGTCAACTGAAAATGTTGACTTTTTAACACTAAGTCAAAATGTGACTTTTAAGACTAAATATTTCAACCTTGGTAGACCTAAAACTAATGCACACATCAAATTTTCAATTTTTCCTTAAATTCCCAATAAAGCGTTAAGGCTTCTAATACTAGTGTTATTAACACTTAGAAATATTTTTGAATAAGACAACTTTAAGCACAAGGATTATAGTTAAGTCAAATATTTAACTAATAAGATAGCATACCTTTTGTTACGTATAAGCTCTCACTTAGTTAGATTTAACATTAAGCCAATTATCTTGGTTTTAGTTAAGAAAGCCTAAAATATACAAAACTTCTCTTTATTTTGTAATCATCAAAACTAGAGTTCAACATGAGAGATATACTAATTCAAAGTTGCCTTAAGGTTTCAGGATCCTCTATAAAGACTCCCAGGACCTTGATAGCCTATAACAAATTCACAGAGGACTCCTCATGTCTAAAATTGACTAAATCAAATTGAAATTGAAGCTAAGCCATGTATATTTTACATAAAACAAATTCCAGGTCAAAACTCCTTTAGATTCATTCCTAGTGAGTTTGTGAATTTAAGGCAGAGAAACTAGAAACAGAAAATTGTCAAGCCCTAGAATATGCAAATTTTTTTCTTTTTTTTTTTTTTGAAATTGCACAAAACAACCAAATAAACACATAAAAATGAAAACTTGACCAAATCAAGCTCACTAAAAATTAAGGCACAAATTTTTTCCCAAAACCAAACAAAATAAAGAAAAATAAAAATCTTAAACTAATGATCTTAGTTGTATCTCCCCTATACTTATGTTTTAACAAGAGTTATATGAAGAATAAAAACATGCAAGAAAAGTGCTCCACATGTGTCAAAAGTGGCAGCAAGCATACACTAAGAAGTGTATCCACTTGTGTGCTATGTGTAGAAACAAAAATCAAGCAATACGTAAGGATAGATACAACCTTTAAAGCACTTCACGGTGGCTTAAAATTATGTTTCTCCCAAATGCTTTTATTTCTAATTGTCAAAGCTCCTCCTTTGTCCGATGCAAGATCACATGAAATGATATCTTTAAAAGCATCAGAAATAAGCTCTTCATGAATTTGAGGCACATCTTGAAAATTTAAGGCATGACCTTGTAAATTGCCCTCATTAGGTGGCATGGCCTCTTCCAATTCAAGTGCAATTCTTCCAAGTTCATCATGAATTTTAGCCATGTCCAAATGTGCACCTGTAAAATCAACAAAATACCTTTCTTCAAGCAAACCTGAATTCAAAGAAGTGCTATTGTTATTAAAGACAAAGGAATCAATTTCTAAGCAAATAGAGCAAAGATCATCATTTGAACAATATGTAACTAGAGAGTTATAATACGTATTTTGAAACAAAGACAATTCATTATGAAATTCATTACCATCCATATTATTGTTACACTTTGTACCATCATTTCCTTGAATTCCCATCTCTTTGTCATCTTGAATCATCTTAAAATCCTTGTACATCCTTGCTTTGCCTTGTTCCTCTTCAAATTCCTTGTCTTGGACAACATCAACCTTGCACAATGATGCTGGAAAATTTTCCAGATTCGACCAATCTCCTTCATGCACCAATTTATCCATCTTTTTGTCCCCTCCTTGCTTTTAGTCAATGCTCTCACTTGAATCGGTAGTTTCTAAGACCTCTATTATTGTTTTTATTAGGCTTCCATCTTATAGAACACATTTGTTACACAATTTTATTTGCCAATTATGACCATTTTATTAATATTTTATCACCTCATAGTGTACACATTGCATTAGAATTGAAAAATCACCTACGTGTCTAGGTTTAGTGCACGAAAGGTATTTTAGTCAAAAAAATGAAATTTTGAGAAAATGTACAAGAAAAGTTGAAAAAGTAAATTTTATGTCCATTTTCTCTGTGCCATGTGCCGCAGCATGCGGGTACATGCTTTGTGGCGCACACACCTGAATTTGCTGTCAAATGGCAGTTTCTAATACAAAATTTAGATGCACGCCATTTCCACATCCGATGTCCGATTAGGATGGTTCAAGCACCCACATGAAGCTTGTTTTGAAATCTTATTAATGATGCTGGTTTCAATTAATCCGATATTTCTATCAAAAAATTGGACACCTAAGTGCATTTTGACTATTTTTTGCCAAAATTTTGCCATTTAAGTGTCTTAATTCAAGACCAATTGTCATTAGCCACTTTTTGTGCCTTGACCACGTCCAAATGGACAATACACACCTGATTGACCACACACATGCATAATATATCACACATCCACATAATTGGCCTATAAATCACCCATTTCACACTTTGGACCAAAATTATATTTTCATTTTTCTAATTCTTACATGGCCAAATCATCCCAAACATTCTTCACACATCACAAATTCACACATATACAATCATCCCCTAGCCCATCCATTCATTTCACTATTCACACATATACAAGGGTTAAGGAGCTCAAAATCATCAAGCATACCACAATCATATCTTTATACACATGTATAAATCCTATAGAAACTTATACATCTTCAAGACTAATAACAACCACTTTATTACACCCAAAACCTTACAAAGGCTTAGTGAGAAATCTCTACTCAGCCAATGTCTTTTCCCTTTGACCCACTAGCACCAGAACCTGAAAAATGTAAATAACTACAGGTGAAAAAAAATCTCAGTAACCATTATAGCTCATTTAATGCCTATTACCACAAATAACTATGTTAAAGTAATGAAAATAAAGTAATATCGCATATATATCAACGTATGGAAAAAATATCATCTTTTCAAGAGTATTTCCACACAAATACACATTAGCATGATCATCTAGCCAGCGAACTTCCAATGCTCCTCAATATGAAACTATATGCTCTCCTGATCAACCACTTGTCGACTTAAGCACACTTTCGATAGTAGAAACATTCGACCAAAGGTAATCTAACCCACCTATGGACTAAGGTTTCCCTTTTCACACACTTGTGATAAAGGCATTGTTGACTCCTAACTGTACCTTATCGAGCACTAGGGAGTTGCCAGACTGCCCGAATATCCTGTGATAATAGTTCCATAATATGCTATACCAGATTACCCATAGTAACAGCTTGTATAATGCTGTACCGGATATCCCATAGTGCCAGCCTGACCATATGAATTTTTCACTCATATATCTCTACGTACACACCCCCACATATCCTGAGTGAACTCTCACCCCTTATAATCATGCTCTTTCATAATCATCACTACTCATCAACATTTCAACAACATATAATGTCATGACACATGCATGTATATATCATTTGAAATCAATTAACCTTTCAGATTGCATTTCACAAACCAATGTTCATACTAAAACCATTTTCAATAACCAATCATGCACAAAACTTATAAAACAATAAGTTCTCATTTGATATTTACTTCGACACAGTTATAATAGTTAATAAACATAATAAACTATCTGGTAACCTCAACCTTTCTATTTACTAAAAAGGGTAACCCATGTTCTAACAACCCTATTCAAGCTCCTTTCTCACAGTTCATGTATCACACGCTAGAATCTACATAAAATTGGCAACCCAAAGTCAATTTTTATTATTGGCCAAAGTGCCAATTATCATATTTAAGCGCCTAATCACTATCATCTCCACAATTTACACTCGATTATACGCATTACTACTGATTACCCCTCATTTCAAACTTTAACATTTCTAGCCAATTTTTTCTCACTACTCTCTCTCTAAATTAAGACAAATCTTACCTATAGCCTCAAAGCTTTATTGTTTCGACTCCAACCAGTCACAAAGCACTAGTTTAGTTTTGAAGAACCTTTCCATTACTATAAGGCAAGAAATTAACTCCTTAAAACTCCCAAATTCAATTTCTCACTAGTTAAAACTAAGAGAAAATAGGGTAGAATTGGAGGTTAAGGCAGTATGTGACTTACCTAATAAGTAACAGGTTAGAAACACCATCCTTACTCTTGATTATGCTTGTGCTAGCACATGCTCCACTCTTCTCTATGCTAAACCTCTTCTCTTATACTCTCTCCCATTCTATTTTCACGACCTGGCACGTCCCTATTAATCTAATTTTAGCACCATGCAACACGACGCGTGGCACAGTGAGGGAAATCCTTACTATGCTTACATGCTCTACTTCGAGATTCTGCTCTTTTACTTGTATCTGTTCATATAACATCCTAATATGTCAAAATAACACTTTACTATTTAAAACCCTAATCCCATATTAAATCACTAATTCATCTACTAATCAATCATAAATGCAAGATCATAAATTTGGGATGTTATATTTTGCATGAAGTTTGATAGGAGGAATAGTCGCTTACCCTCAAAATTAAACTAAAGCTAACCCTAATGCAATATAGGGCCAACCCTATATCATCTCCTAAGGAATGGTTTTAAGCCTAAAAGTTATTTAATAGAATAAATTACCCAAAGTTGAAGTTGATTACCTAATCACTAACCTAGTTACCTAATTAACAAGAAAATAAAATGCTAACCCATTGAATGGATTAAACTTCCCTTTTTCTTAGTAGGAACCCTAGGGTTATGTTAATAGAGGAATCCTATCTTTTAATTAATTATGGCAACTCACTTAACTCCTCTTCCATAGTTTAAAAAAGTGTTTACTTAAGACAACTATTTCAAGTAATCTAACTTTACTAATTCAATTTCCTAAGTACTATTACAAGCCCCTTTAAGCACCCTCACTAGCTTAGCTTAAGAATTAACCAAGTGTTTAGTAAAAATCATCCCTAATTGCCACTACCGAAAGCTATACCTAAGCTCAAGACTATCAAACTCATGCAACTCAGCAAGTATTCACCATATAATTACATACTAAGCTAACACAAGACATTTAACAAATGAAATTACATATTACAATGCAAAATCACTAAGTGGCCAAAATTTTCAGCAACAAAAGGAAGTAAAATTCAACTCATCAATCTTGTTTCAACATTAACAATTACAAGAAACCATAAAACTAAACTTACATTAAACTACAATTGTCGCACCCGAAAATGCAATGCGGACGGCGTGAGGGCGAAGGTTCTGACCTTCGGAAGGAAGATCGGAGAAATGGGAGTTGCCACCAAGATTTTGAGGTAAATCTCGGAACCCCGTTTAAAGGTGGATAAGGGTGGTCTGCGAAATCAAAGAATAGGTTTGGGAGTCGGTTGAGTGTGAGGAAGGTGTTAGGCACCTCACAACACTCGTTCGTGAGAACAGTTACCTAAAGTTTGTTGTGCTATATTAATATGATTTTAAAATTATTTTAATTATCCCTTTTATATTCATGTGTTTGATATAAAAATGATAAGAATTAAGTGAGAAATATTTATTTATTTACGGGGAGGACTTGATTCAGAATCTGGCTCTAAGGCCTACGCACCCTGTGATAGGGATCAAAGTCCACGTAGTTCGAGCTTTATAAGTTATTGGTGAAAATATTTTTTGAAGAGAAATTAATTAGAAATAATTCACCATTTTACAAATAAAATAATTTTTGAAATTTTGATATGTGTGTTTTAAATTGCAAAAAGTAATTTAACTTCAACTATTTTCTCAATTTTTTTAAATTTTTGGAATAAAGAAAAGAAAAGGGTTTAAAAATTATTTTTCATTTATGCTTTATGACTGGGAATTTAATCGCAGTTCCTGTAGAATCTTATTGACTCATACAATAATGCAATCATTCTAAATGTCTGTGGAGATTTCAAAATCTCTCACAAATAAATAATTTATTTATATGTTAATAATAATTTATTCAAGCATGCATATATATATTTTTAGAGAATTTTAATCATCATACATGTAAAGCCTTATTGACTTTTACAGTAATATGATTATCCTAAATATCTGCGGAGATTCAAAATCCTCACACCATAAAGGATTAAATATTGTATATTTTAAATATATTTTAATATGTAATTGTATAATTCATATTTAAATATAGAAATCTTTATCATTATACCTACGAAGCCTTATTGACTCTCACGATAGTACGATTATCCTACAGGTCTACAGATATTTTAAAAAAATCTCATATGACCAAAAGATTGAATACCTTATTTTCATGAATTAATTTTATTAAAAATATTTATAATTTTATTTACAAAAATCATCTATTTACTATATAAATTAATAATTGTAAAATTCTGCGAGGATTTATTATTTCACACGATAATACACTTAATTTATTTTTCTATGAAGATTCTTAAAATCTCTCATGAGACTCAAATATTTTATTAATAAAAAAATTAATTTTAATAATGGGTCTTTAGAACCCATATAAATACCTACAAAATTGATCCTCATACCTACAAAATCTTATTGATTCTTACGATATGGTATGAGATCTTTTTAAATGTTTGTAAAAATTCTCAAAATCTCTTACTTCAAGTTTTAAAAACCGATATTTGTGCTTACCATATGAGCATAAAAAAAACATACATTCAAGAATCATTCATTTGAATAAAAAATTCACAGAAGCAATTAATAAGGAATGAACCAACTTTACGTACACTCTCGCCATGCTTGTAACTGAGAAAGGAAAAGAAGATGAAGACCGAGCACATACACATACACCACCGTCGGCCACAGAGTGATTCAGAATGTGAAGAAGAAGAGGTGAATTTCAGTCTCCTTTCCAAACCTTCAGGAGCACCAAGTCGAGAAGAAGGCTGGAGTTCTGCCGAGGTACCACGGAGGAGAACCCAGTGCTCAGTCAGTGACGGCAGAATGAGAGGAAGGAAAGAGAGATGCTGGCTCTGTAATAAATGTTGATTAAGCTCTGGAAAGGTTTCCAGTATAGCTCTAACAAAGCAGTGCAACATGATGCTGGAACTTGCTCATGTTCTTGAACTCTCCGATCTACCTCCTTCTTCACCGTTTTCATATGGTTTGAGTGCTGTCCTCCTCGATCTCCTCTCCATTTTCATCTTCTCTCTCTCTCTATCTGGTTTCTCCTCTTTCTCTAACTCTTCTCCATTTTGCTCTCGTCTTTCTCTCCTTCTCTTTATACTCTGTTTTTTCTTTTTGCTTGCTCTGTTTTTCCTTCATGCTCTCTCTCTCTCTAGAAGTCCTTCCACATTTTTTTCGTCTTTCCCTCCTCCAGTTTTCCTCCTCTCTTTCTTTTCCTTGGTTCTCCACTCTACCCCCTGGTTTTTCTGTGAATGCTTTTTTTTATCCTTCCACTTGCGTGCATACTGTGTTTTCTCCTTCTGTTTCTTTTTCTACTGGCTGAAAGTATATGTACAAATGCTGGTTGCTTGCTGCTCCTTCTGCTCTATTTTGATGTGCATGCATGCGTCTAATCTCTCTCTACATTTCTGTGTTTTTCCTCTGTGTGTTTTCGTGTGTGCGTGCTACTGTGTGTTTTGCTTTCCTTCTTTTTGTCGTGTCTGGTCTCTAATCTTCCAGTCTTGCGTGTGTGGCTGTGTGGCTATCTGTTCTTCTTTTTTCTTTCTTTCTTCTTCTACACCTAGCTGAAAGTACGTGTGTGCGTGTCTGACTTCATTTCCCTCTGCTCTTGCTGTAACGTGCATGCTTTTTTTTTCTCCTTCTGTTTTTTTCTTGTGCTTTCATGTACGTGTTCGTGTTCTATCTGTGAAGCTTCTGCTCTGCCTCTTTTCTGCTCTTTCTTCTGGTCTGGCCGAGAGAGTGCATGTGTGTGTACCTATGTTTCGTGTGTTCACTGTGCACGTTTGCTTCTCCCTGGTTTGCAACTGTGTTTGCTTGCTCTGTGCTCAAGCTTCGTACGTGCCTGTCCCCTTTTTTCAGCCATTCTTTTTTAATGCTTTTTTTTCTTTTTTTTTATTATTAATTAGGTTAAGGAAGAGAAAGGAAAGTCTAATTTAAAAAAAAAAAAAATATATATATATATATATATATATTTAAATGGAAAATAAAAAGATTTAAGGAAAGAAAATTTAAAAATACTTGAGTCTTAAAAAAATTGATTCTCGATATTTTGAATGGTCGGGATAATTTAGGAGAGATTTTAAAAGATTCAAATAAGATTTTTTTTTATTTTGTTAAAATTATATTTTTTTAAAATATAATCCTAAAAAAGATTAAATTTCATTTTTGTATATTTATATTTTTTTGGGTTATTTATTATTATTTTTAAAAAATGCCCGGATAAAATACGGTGTTCACAACAATCAACAATAGTGATAGTATTCTAATGAAATCTAAACAAGATGAAGAAATAGTTGAGCTTAGCTAAGTGAAGATTTCAAAGCTCCTCTTCCATCAACTCTCCTTTAGGATTCCATGGAGAATTTAGCTAGAAAAAAACTATCTTAGTCCTCTAAGAACTAGACTTAGCCAAGTAGAGCTTCATAGAAATGGTGGAATCAATCTTCAAATCTCCTTGCAAGGGGTAGGGATAGGTTCGTCCAAGTGAGAGAAATGAAATGGTGGTAAGGAGGTTAGATGGCTGAATGTGGAGTTATAGGTGCTGGAAAAATGAAGAAAGTAGAGAGAAGGTAGAGAAAATGAAAAATAGGATGAACTAGAGGGAGAGAGAATGGAAGAGAAGAGTGAAAATAATGTGTAAATATGAAATTGGAGTGAATGGGATGTGCATTTGGTGTTGGCATAAGCTAAATGCTAATTAAAATAAAAGAAAACAGAATAAAAAGGAATTTTAGGACCTTGTCATACTTGCAAGGTGGCACTATCACATTTTGAGCTAATCTAGACCACCCAATTAAGAGAAAAAACGTCCAAATGCTTCAGCTTTGACCCCATGGACTTTTGACTTTATTTGCCCAATTGATACACAAGTCACATGGCACCTATGTAACAAAAATCACATAATTCAATTAAATAACATGACATTATAAAATTTAATTAAATTTCAAAATTAAATTCATATTTAGAAAGGAGGATTTATTAAAATAATCAAGTTTCAAGCTGCAAAAAAATATATAAAAATTTCCACAGAAAAGAAAATTAAAAGCTAGGTCAAACTAAGACACTTTAAAAAGTGTTAACTTTTTATTTAATTACATCCAAATTAAAATGAATTTCAAAAATCTAATTTGACCACTAATTAGCTAGACCTAGAATGCACTTTTTCATTATTTCTTGTATATTTTCTCAAAATTTTATTTTTTAGACCAAAATACCCCTAGTGTACTAAACCTAAAAACTTATGCAATTTTCCAAATCTAATATAATGAGTCCACTTTGAGGTGATAAAACATTAATAAAAGGTCTTAATTAACATAGATAAGTGTGTAACAAATGTGTTCCATCAAAGTTCCCATTGTTCCCTAGGTTTGGTAGATGGATTTGAGTATTATTCAAAGGTGGAATAGGTGCTAGACTCTCAAGATTTACGCCACTCCCTTAGTTGACAACCTTAAAAATTTGGTTTTGAACACTTTAAAGCATAGGATTGACATTAGGGTTGGGATTGGGATTAGTGTTGAAGTCCTTAGGCATTCTTAGATGAGCAAGATCATAATATTGATTAGCAGCAGCCATAGAGGATTCTAAGATAAGGTGATTGTAAGGGTCTCCCTTAACCATATTTAACTCCAAAGTCATGGTAATTAAGGGATAAACCATCAATGGATTACTAACAATGTAAAGTTTCATTAAAGAGAAAATTTTTCAAATCATCTAGAATGGAATTCTATATTCACATTTCAAATCTCTCACAATAGTTATTAGGCCTAAATCAGAGTTTGAAAATAGTGCAAAAGCTTAGAAATCAATTATGACCCAAAACAAAGATTTTAAAACCTAAAAATGGATTTTGTGCAGAAAATGACATGTGCATTGTGGCTTGTCTTCTTTATGCCATGCGCCACGGTGTAAGGCACCATGTGCTGTGGTGCATTACACGAATTTGATAGCATCAGTGCTATCATTTGACAGCATAGGGAGCGAACTTCTGACACGTTCTAAATCTCCATCCGACATCTGATTAAGGTGGTTTTGGTGTCTACATGGAGCTTTCTTCTACCTTTAGCTAATGGCACTAGTTTCACACTCAAACTCTTTTTCTATAAAAAGTTGGACACCAAAACCTATTTTGACTACTTTTTTACAAAATTTCACAAATGGGGTGTCCTAACTCAACTATACTTATCAATAACTTACACCAACCATCTGACCACGCTCAATGGATTCTGACAGACCCGTGCAATACACAACACATAATCAAAAACACATTTATCATGAAATCATCACTCAACCCTAATTTCATAAAACATAAGGGGGAGGAAAACATTGCAAAAAATCATCATTTTCATTCCAAATCTTTCAAAATACACATGTTCCTACTTGCACAAGTATTTTAGCCTTAACAACATGTTTACAACCAAAACTTACTAACCCAAGGCACAAAATATACTAGTTGTAAACAAAAATATTAAAAGTAGTGCAAAAATAATGTCAAATGATCCTAGTTGGTAAACGCATTTACATATACACATGAAACAATAAAAATGAGGCATATAGGGGATTAGTTTACAATCTTAAATCTCTGTGTGTTTTCCTTGATTCTGATTCAATGAGTTAGGTCTTGAAATATTAAGAATTGAGGGGTAAGCACAAACACTCAGTAACTAAGTTTCACCTAACATATATAGTCCCATATCAATTATTAAATAGATGTTATTATGCAAATACACAGATATCACATATAAATACTTGGCCACGATTTACAAAACTAACAACCATGTGACTGGGCGCACAACACATGATATTATGTTATTTCACAAAGCACAAATAGGGTCGCAATAATAACAACCATACACCCCTAACCCATACTAAACCATAAAATTAACAACCATATAACTGGACTCAAATACATGATCATATGCCAACCTTATACCCTCCTGTTACTTCCGACATAAAATCGATGGCTATCACACATCTATGTCCTTCAAGGATAACCTAGCCTTTTACTTGTAAGGAGCTACTAGGCTAAGGTGAACTCACTCACTTATGTGATTCGGTTTCTCCCAATACTAACAACCATAGGGTGTTGCACCCCTTATCTAGCTTCCTCATGAACCGGTAGAGTTTAATTTGCTTTGAGTCCCTCATAGAACAAGTAAGACAGTCCCAAATCAATAATGGGATAAGGGCTACCTCTCGATTCCAACGGTTGGTGCTAAGGCAAGTTCTCAATTTCAATGGTCACTACTAGTACCACGTGAATTTAAATCCATCTACTCCTCCCTATAAGTAAACTCCTGCCAATGATCATGCTATGCACATATCTCATAAAATTTGCATTTCAAGAATTAATACATGGCAATAATCTCACACACTCATAATTAATTACTCTACATAATCAACACATGTCACATCACAAATTCTCTATCCATAACAATAAATCAAAACCAAGTTTATAATCATAAAAGGTGGCACCATCAAGGTTTTCCGTTCCAAAACCATTTCACAAATTAAATATATTACCAATATACATCATTAATTTTAAATCATAAATCACATTTTACAAACACAATTAACATTCAACTATAAAAATTACCTCATACATAACACTTCCAAAGCTTCTCCTCGATTACCTCAGATATTTGAGAGGTCAAAGGTTTACACCTCACACAAAACACTTCCAAAGCTTCTCCTAAGCTTAAATGGTGCCAAATGAAACCACACTACAATCAAAATCAAGAATATCATCATAATCCCAATTTTGAAGATTTACCAACACTAAATTCCGTATATTCATTTTACCAATAGTTCACTATGTAACCTCCTCCTATATCCAATCAATATAAAAGAAGATTATGGTGTTACCACTACCTTACATCAATCATAATCATCAAATTTCATTTCAAAAGCTTTGGCTGAAGACTTAGTTTGGTAAAATCAATCAATTCACAATACAATCAGAGAAAAACATAATGAAAGTGAATTATGCACTCCTTAAATATATAGTGGACATAACCCACCAGCATTCATATTCCAATTGCATGCATTTTATCACAAAATAAAAATTGAAATTTGGGTTGTGCAATGCGGCGTGTGGTC